ATTTATAGAATTTTCTAGCGGATCTTGTTCCGTGAGAAACATTTTTGCGGGAATTTGGCTTTCCGTAACATATTTGTTTATTTCTTTTATTGATTCATCTTGAATTCACTTAATGGTCTGGTTCTGATAATATTTCAGCTCTCGTCCAAGTGTGATAATAGGCAGTTCTGCATTAAGTTCGGGCTATCAAAACTCGAGGGCTATCATTTCCTTGAGGACTTCTCCCCTTCAATTCGTTGCATCTCTCGGAATCGTACCCCAAGGACATCAACTATTATTTGGAAAAAAAATCTCTGCAATCCATCCGGATAATGGATCTAAATCATTAGGCCTATATGATATTTCTTGTGAAAGTAAGCACAATACTGTATATGAAGCAAAACTCAGTCCAACATCGAAGAGGGTTAGATTAGGAGAAGCAAAAATTTCTAAAATAGACCAACACAGAGAAGAATACAAATCTATTGCCTCAAAGCACAATCGGGTATAAATTGATACTCTTTTCCTTTTAATTTTCCGTAACATCATCATTATCAGGGTATGTCTTTATAGACTGTTAATATAAGAAGAGCGTAAATCACTGTTGAACTATAAACAATTGCATTGCTATTTACAATCAGGTTGAGAATGGTTTTGGGTCAAGATTAGAGGCAAGGGCTGAAAATTTTGAAGAAGTAAACACGTCCCAATCTGATTCAGAGAGCACCGGGGTCCAGGATCCAGCTTTAAATAGTGTGTCAAGTAGGGGGCATTCAATTTCGGATGTAACAACTTTTAGATACTGCCTGGGGGGGCTTGACGGATAGGTCTATTTTACTCAAGGAAATTGCCACAACCATTTCAGACGATGAAATTTCGGGCTTTGCAGACCAGGTTTCCGTCTACTCCGGATGTTCTCATCATAGGTAATTTACTATGCTTTGCTTCTTTAAGACATTGTTGGAATTTTTGTATTTCTTTTGGTAATTGAAATAAGTTGTTACCTGCTCTTAGGCATCAAATAAAAATGGCAAAGAGATTGATAGACGAGGGGACAATAGCCTGGAATTCGATATCACAAAACAACCTTCGAGTTCAATGGGAGAGTGCAGTTTTTGAGATTGAAGAGCAATTCATGAAGATTGCTTGCTGTACGACTAGATCACTTTCCCAACAGGTATCTGTATTTCCATCCATCCACCTCTAGTAATGGTTGTATTTTTTTTGGAGGGAAAAAAAGGAATGAGGCTCTGTGTGCATTGTCCATCGGTTCATGTTGTACACGTCGGAATCTGATTTCAAGGCTTGGTTTCTTACCACGAGGTTTCCTCACAAATCTGGAAAACAATTTCAAAGATCAAGTATACAAACAAGGGGAAAAAATAGGGAAAAAATGCCCCGAAAAATCAAACATCTTTCAGATACTTATTTTCAGTTTTTTTTCAAATGTATTCGTCAATCCCTACTGACCTATTTTCTAAGTTCTGCGAGCATCGGTTTCTTACAGTATAGGCTTATGTTAGTCATTTTTGTTTCCAAAATCCTTTCAAGATTGAACTTTGGCTCATCACCTGCACCCGCATAAGACATCCTTCAAAGATGACAATTTTTCATATTGATAGTTAGATGATGACTTGCAGAAGATTGTGTGCGTGTACTCTTATACATACGAGTACTTGTTTACCGTCATTTCTGGATGTCGTGTGTGTTGTATGAATAAATAGTATTTTTTTTCTTTTATTCTCGATAGTTGGATGAAAATTCATTGAGGTAACAATTGTTGCAGGACTTTGAGCTTCTGCGGAAAATTGCCGGATGCCAAGATTACATGGCCCAAGAAAACTTTGAGAAGATGTGGTGTTGGTTATACCCGGTAGCTTTAACCTTATCTAGTGACCGTATAAAGGCAATGTGGAAATCTACATCGCCAAAGTGGATAGAAGGATTTATAACTAAGGAAGAAGCTGAACTCTCACTTCAAGGTCCGAGAGGTCTGCAAGAGCCTGGGACATTTATACTTAGGTTTCCTACTTCAAGAAGTTGGCCCCATCCAGACGCAGGAAGCTTAGTTGTGACATATGTCGGCAATGATTACGCTCTTCACCACCGACTGCTTTACCTCGATAATGTATATAGGTGCGCGTTTTTTTCTTTATAAAATTTCATTATGGTCTTAATTTGAACTGTTATTAAGGATAACTCTTTTTCGGTGATTCTTCCCTTAATAATTTCTTTGCATCATTGTACATGATGGAGTTTGTCCGATTATAGACAAAAAGAACAGCATAATTAGTAATCGTCATAATTAGGAATGTGTATGTTCAACTTTTTTATTTAGATTTCTTCAGTTTTAAACATTGGTGGATACTTTAGGTCCGATGGTTTAGTTTACGCTATTTAGAAACATTTATCATTACCGTCATCAGACTCCGAGTTTATAGATAATTTGTCTTGTATCCTTCCTATACGACTATACCATGGATTGAAAGAGATTTGTTTTTTACATTTTGCGTATAGCTCCGGAGTACGGGAAGTGAATGTCAAAGTAAAACCATTGCAAGATATGCTATTTGAAGAACCCGAGCTCTCTCGACTAGGAAGGTAGGAAGCACCTCCACTTCAATTTCCTTGTGTGTAATTATGGACATGGTATGTTATTTTTTTGTTTTTAACATGTAAAAATGCAGGATAACGAGACGCCATTAACCTTTGTTCGGGTGTAGCATTGCATTACATGTTTGATTTCTGGTGACCGACCATTAACATATTTCGTTGTCGTTACCATGTTGCTGGTTTAGGTTTGATCGAGTCTCCCTTTTCCTTTATCGTATGCTTAATGTAAGAGTATATGTAATATTAGAAGCCGATGCTGGATCATTTCTTCATTGTTATGACGACGTTCATTTACCATACATGTAGACGATAAATCGATTTTGAAAGGCCTTTTCCTTGTAAACTTGATCTTTTTTGTTGATGGCATCTGTGTGATATTTATTTATCAAGATGCATTAGTAGAAAGAAACTAAACTTGCAATGATCATGCTTTATACATATAATTTTGTTATCAAGGCATTGCTTTACGCTGTTCTATATTCGAAACAATCCGAAAATGCTTTACACTCATACGTCTCTGGCATCTCGACCTAAGACCTTCATAATTGTCTTCGTTCAAAATGAAGCATTCAACAATGGAATAACTCTTCAAAAGTGTTTGTATCCGATACTCGTACAACTGTATGCAAGTAACATATATAATAAACTTACAATCATGTTGCTACCGCTATTTGAATCTCCATTGCCGCCCGCCACAAGTGTTGTTCTTCTTCCCTGGAAAAACACAGTCAACAATCTGAATCCACATACCCTTGTTAGGAACAAATCCATGGAGTACCATTTTCTTCAAAGCGAAATTCAAGTTCAATACATATTCATATATGGATATGGAGACATAATCTTCTAAAAACCCATCAAATTTATGTGTATCCGACACTCAAATTCATGTTCGAGTCAAACATAAGCTGAAACCGCAAGCTATGCTGCTAGCTATCGATGATTTCACCAAGGAAACTAATGTCACAAGTGTTCTTCCCTGCAAAAACACAGTCAACAATTGGAATCCACACCCCACTCTTGGGAACAAAGCCATGGCACACCATTTGTTTCAAAGTCCAATCAACTTCCTTCACCATCTTCGCCTTACAAAAGCCATGAATCAACTTCTTGAACGAATCGGAACTAGGATTAACCCTCTCGAAAACCATCCTCCCCATCACCTCTTTCGCTTCGATAAACCTCTCGGCATCGTGCAAACCTTACAACACCTCCTGATAACACCCTCTCATTTTCATCGTTTCCAAAAGCTTCACACCTCCAAGCCTGCCTTACTTTCTAAGACCCGAAATCAAAATGTTAAAGCTAACGGCATCGGCCTCTATCCCTTCCATTTCCATCCTCCCCATCAACTCGAAAGCTTCATCGACCTACCCCTTCTCACACAACCCGTGCATTAACACCGAATAAGTCCTAACATTTGGCTTACACCTTTGTTTAGGAAATTCATCGAGCAGTTGGAATGCAGACTCCAGTTTCCCATTTCCACACAGCCCGTCGATGAGTATATTCAAAGTACAAGTTTCGATTTCAATACCCAAATCGGGAGTTTTCATGTAAACATCATGAACATCGTCAAACAATTTATTATTCACGAGTAAGCTCAAACGATATTGAAGGTCTTAACACTAGGCCTAGTCCCGTATTCCGGTATACTAAAAAGGGTCTCCATCGCCAGTCTGATTCGGCCTCCGACGTGCCCCTATTTCTTAATCACATTCTGTAAGAAATCATCGGACAAACGACAAGCTTTTTCGCGTTTGAGCTTTTCCATGATGTTCTCGATGGAAACAAAATCCTGGGCATATGCGAGATTGTTGATGACCAGGGTGAAGAGCGGTTCGGTTGGTTTAATCTTTTCGAACCGAGTATTGGTTTAGGACCGAATATATGGAGTTTTGGTCTTTGAGATTTTCAAAGATTTTGAGAATCAGTCGGGGAGAGCCAGTCTTTGTGGGTTAGTTTGAAAAGTGGAGGGAAAGTGGTGGAAAATGAATGGGTTCTAAAGACGAGATATTGGTCGTGTTTGGATGGTGGGAAAGTGAGGGAAACTTCTGGAGGTGGGAGTTTTTGATGGAAGAAAGAAAGGACCGTGAAATCATGATTTTATCCATTAGTGGAGGAAGAACGAACTGAGGAGAGCTTAAAGCTTTCTGCCGTTGAAGGAATGTAATGGTTTATTTATGGTTTAGCCCTTCAAATTTACTCCTTTTCTAACCTTAGTACAAACTTTTTTTTGACCCGCTTTGATTTTTAACCGTTATTTTTAAACTCATTTAATTATCTTAGTAGTAAAAGAGAATATTGTTCTTCTAAAGATTTCGGGTTTAAGCAATTACGTTCGCAAAGTATGTAACTTTATTATCAATTGATTAAGAAAATTCTGAACGAATTATATACCGGAAGGTATATATTTCGAAGTGATGAATCATTGTTATTTACAACTATATACATCTCCATCTCTGAATGTACAAATAAATTTGGCAGAATGATTTATAAGTGACAAAATTTCATTTCTGCTTCTTGGCTGCAAGAATGGGTTGGATTTGCAGATGCCTGTTGAAAGCTTGGTTGAAAAGGACTTGAGTTTGGAATGCCGAAATGATAGGAAGCCAAGCCAAGACGGCGATGGGCGAGAAAAGGATCGTTCCCATTCCGTAATCGTACGCCTGAGCAAGTACTCGGTGAAGTGCCAGAATCCGGTGTTTTCGATAACAGGCCTCACAGCTTGAGCAACCTGAAGATAAGATTCAGACATGAAAACGAATATGAGACGTCGAAAGTATGAACAAAGTTCGAACGAACTTATATGTACCGGTGTTTGATACTTATCGTCCCCGAGTCCAAGAAACATAAGAAGACAAGCTCAACTAAATATACCGGTATCAAACCCCATCCGGTCGGGAGAAATGTGAGACAGCAGACGAGTATATCCTTCGGCGATAGTTCGCAGATGACCGAGAGCGTGATAACGATGGAGAAGACACTAAGAGGAATGCCTTAAAGAACCTAAACATCAGATGGTAATTAGCACTGAAGAGTTAACTTCCAATGTTCACGATAGTCGAATGAATTCTACCTTGACCGTCAAGAAAACTGCAAGAATAACAACCCAGGAAAACACATAAACCAGGAAATTTTTGCTCTGTTGGGAGATGTCAAGATGATGGACCAAGCAATATTGATACAAGAAAAACCGAATCGAGAGCAGAATTTCGAACAATCTAGCACCGTAACCCGAACGGCAAAGGTGAGCTTGTTCGTCGTTCCACCAAGATTGCCAACTCTTATCCTGCCGAATCCCAATACCGCCTTGCTCCTTGATCCACTTATTCCAGCCTTTCCAGTCATCAACTATCTTGTCCCAATCGACTCCGGAAGGATTAAACAGAAAGGGTGCAAACAACCAAGTTATGGTCAAGAACCAAACCGAATAAGTGATTAATACATACGCCATGCTACTCTGGTACGACCTCCGCAACAAATCGTAAATGACTAACAGGAGTAGCAGTTCAAATTCTTTAACGAAGTGGCTTCGCGAATACAATCTGTAGTTCTCTGTGAAGCTAGCATGAAACACGACGACCTTACGGCCAGTAGGTATATACCGAGCGTTCGACCAAAATGATGTGTTTTTTGTTCCAAGGGAGAAAGTGAAGAAAACAGCAGCAAGCAGTTGCATCAGAACAAAATCTTTAAGGGATGTAAGAAATCCCTTCTCGAGCCCGATCTCCATTACCATCGGTAAGCCAGTTAAAAGCCCGAGCTGAATAAACGATTGTGAAGCAAGAGCAATTTCCAATGATTCGATGTTATGCATTCTAGCCTCGGTAAGGAGCGCCTTCTGCAGTCCACTAAGAACAAGGTAATTTACCCTAAAAAGGGTAAACATTCTCAGAAAATAAGAAATTTTCCTTGCATCTTTTAATATGATCCTAATTCCTTAATCAACAAGGCATTGAAAACAAAAATGGAAGAAGCATTAATCAGCTGGGATCTCCATGAACTATGGTTCATAGTGAGCAGTTCTATCAAGACTATTTTTCGGGTTTTTCCTGTATTTTACAAACATGTCATAGTCGCTAGCTAAAGAAAATTCGGACAAAGAATCACCGACGTATTCTAGGTTCCCCCGAAATCTATTCTCGGGTTGCGTTGATGAGTATGGACCGAAAACGTAACCCATCTCCTCTAATGCAAACCGACTATGGGGTCTACTAGTCGAAAACCTACAGGAAACAGTATTGTAAGAGGATTCTGGAGCTGGCAAGTTATTGAAGATCGAGAATGGATCTCCATTGCTCTCGTCGGCATAGTCCACCGTACTGAAAGAGTCTATAGCACTCTCCGTTGTGAAGGAGGCCTCATCTGAGCTCGTGAAAAGTGACCAATCGCTTGATGTAGCATCAGAGAACTCGGTGTTGATAGGTTCGGCAATGTTACCATTTGTGCCCTGCCTAAGAAAGTCGTTACCGTTGCGGTTGAAACAACGGTTGGCAACTTCAGGCCTGAAATCTGGGACATGCTTGGGGCCAACAGAGTGGCTGCTGGATTTACTTTGTGCTGCTCGTGAAGGCCTCTCCGTTTTCGATACATGCTGCCCAGCAGGACCTTGCTTCCGTACGCTCTTTTCGGTTAATTCTCTTTGTGGACGAGGACAAGACCTTCGGGAAAAGTATATAACCCCAGAGATTGAAGACGGCACGGACACCAAAAGTAAAATTCAACACAACAATGAAACATCCACAAAAGTATTACAGCAACAAAATCGAGTTTCGGAATTTAATGCCACAACAAACTAGTCCTGATATGTATCTCGTAGGAGAAATATAAACGATTGATCCTAACTAAGACGCAAGAGATTGCTAAGAAGTAACATTGTAAGGCAATTTCGAAAAAATCTAGCCGGTTACATGGGGTAGAAGATCGAGAAATGGAGACGGGAATAAAATTAATGGAGGAAACAGCAAAAGGAAGATAGGTGTCTACCTCATGTAAAACAAGATGTATGCCCCCTCGGACATCACCTGGTTCATTGAGACTGGATGCACCTGTAAGTGAAAGGGCAAATACAAAAACCACATTTCAATACGATTCGCGACAAAAGTGAATCCGAACTAAACAGTTAGAACCGAGAACTAATTCGTATTAGGGGAAAAAACAGTAATGTGATTCTTTACGTCGGCTATCAGAACTCATGAAGGTCGAGAGTACTTCCGATAATACTAATAACAGAAGAAAAGAAGACGATAAAATGCAAAAACTTGACCCAAAACATATGGAAAAAGTGTTCATCAACTCGTTTATATAATCAATCACCTTTCACCAAACATAAGGAGGAGATAAGATTTACCTCGGTATCATCTATCCTGAACCAGTTGCCTCGCAAATCTTTTACGTATGACACGTAATGTCCAGAAAAAGATGCATTCAGTGTATCTAAATGCACCACGACTGCATAAAGCATATAAAGCGGAGGGATGTCATTTGTTCCAGTCATAAAAGGAACCATATCCAGCATGTCGGGGAAAGTGATACACTTGTTTATTTTCCCATATTCTCCTTCCTGATTAAGCGACAGCCACATCAAGAAATAATCAAGTCAGACAACGAACAAGCCAACTAATACACAGACAGGAACACATGACGGATAGGTAGATATAAAATTCGATCATCCCCATTCTTAGGTTCTGTCATGTTGAGTTCAAATTGTCGGCTATACATATGTTGCTTATGGTCAGTAAGTCCCTAAATAAATATTAAACAATGAAGTAGATCATTAACTACTAGGCCAAAACTCGAACATAATCTTTTATGACCAAAACAACTTGTTTCTATGTTAATTGGACTCGGTTGCGAGCATTGGATGTGAGGTTGTGTCAGACACTGGTATATTCATTTTTTGGAAGTTTTTTTTATGTATTTGTAGAGTCCTTGGAGAATCATATTTCCATACCCATGTTGTCAGTATTTATAACATGATATCTACCGATGAAAGTACAGTGTAGAGTGGAGTGATACCTGAAATCGCTTTAAGACAATTGTCAGTATATTAGGGGCCTCGTGTATGCACAACTGCTTCTGAGCTCGAACATAACCGGCACACCTTTAAACATATAATTTTGCAAAACCGATAAATCAATAAGGTTGAGCTCAAGTTTGTTGATAAATCTAATCAAGGACAATATGATAACAAAATAAAACAAGGTTTTTGCACCTTCCACACTGGTACATGTTTTCACCATCCAAGTCTTCAGGTCTCGTAAACTGAGTTAGTGCATCTTCCAGTGATTCGACCCAACCAAATATCTCTAACGTGAGATCCATAATGTTTTCGTATCTTTCTGATTCGTGAAAACATCTTAGACACTTAACCTGATTACATGGAGATTGATCATACATATCGTGCAATAACAGGAGGTCAAAGTAAAACAAAGTAAAATAGCTATAAACACCTTTGATCGAAGGCGCCCTCCAAAAGTATGTTGTATAAACGTTGTCTCTTGCAACCTCGGGTCAACCTTGTGTTCCCCACCTAATCTCTCCAAGCATATCGATTGCATTGAGGCAACTAGGAGTCTGAAAGGACAGAAAATTGAAATTTCAGAGATGCAAGGGGATGAAACAGTAAGCAAATAAAAGCTTAAATCAAAACTCGAGACACAAAAATGAGGTAAAAAAGAATGGTGCAAAGGGTTATCGGCACGTGAATAATGTAGACCTCAAGAACTCGTGTGCGTCTTCCTGACTTCCATCACCCATCTGGCAATTAATACTTCGAATGTAAAAAAGGATCCTAGTAGATGATAAAGGGCCTCCCCTCTCTCTTAACAACATCACATGTTGTTCGAGCTCACACATAAGACACCAATCTTTTCCGTAACCTACAATGAAATGAAAAGTTGATGTATTTGGTCAAACAGTAACTATTATCCCCATGTTCAAATAACAGACAAAACAAGTGAACATAAAAAAAAAACAAGTACAGGCTCTTGAATGTGATCGATGCAGCAAAAAGATACTGAGAGGCTTCGTGCAGGTCAAACACTGCAGAACCGCATTGGCATAGCAACTGCAAAATAAAAACAATAATCAGTGAGTAAAGCATAAGCTCCTATGACTTTCTTTTATATGCTTAAGAACAAGTCATCCATCTAAGGAAACTCAGAAAACGCTTTACGAGCACAATTTGAATTATTGAATCACAAAGTTTATCTAATGAACTAAATTTTTACTTTGAAATTTAACAATCAAGCAAAAATATAAAATAGTTACACTATAAGTAAATCTTCTTCTTTCCTTAGTTTATATGAACATGTTTTTCCCAAGTTTCTACATGTATTAGAGAGACCAAAGAAGCTCATATCCCTGTACTTGAAGTCTTGTGCCTTCGACACAATACTTCAAGAAAAATGAAGAGCATACTCCAAGTATAATAGCAAGTATGGTGGAAAATAGAACTGTAATGTAATGATGATGATACCTGTTCCCACAATTTAGAAGGCCCCTCGGTGATAAGTCGAAGACTTTACACTGGAAGAAATTTACGAAATCTTCATAAGGAAACAGCATCTGAGACTATAGGATAACAGATCATGGTCAGAATGTTCCATTCACAATAAAAGAGCCAAATGAAATAACTTAGCTTAAGGGGATGCAATATGCATCAATCATAAACATAGAGTACAAAAATGACCTTTATTTTCTTGTGTCTCTCACCGCAAAGTGCAGAAAAATTGTTCTTGACAAGTTTTGACGACTTCTTTAAACCCATCATCTCCATAATTCTGATGCTAGCCGCCTCACTGATCCCTGGTGCCGGCATGGCACCTGTTGTTCCAGAAACTTCTGCAAGAAAAATCATGAAATATGAAAAACTACAAGAAGAAAGGCGTTGAATATTAATAATGAAGTGTTGAGATTTACTTAATTCATCTGAGATTTGTCCCTTCCTCCCCATTTCCGCACATGATTGTTCTCCAGACACTTTCCCGGCTAATTTAGTCGATTTGTAGATTCTGGGTCCTAAGGAATGCAATGAACTTCTAGCTTTTGTGCATTCCTTAGCTGCGGTCATCCCATAACAGTCTAATTCTACTGATTCACCACCAAAACCATTTTCCCCATTGCCTAAATTCTCCGAACTCCGGAAAAAGGCTTTCTCAGCTCTATGTACACTTCTCCCACTTTTTGCATAATACGGTGGACCGGAAAATTCATAATTGCTTTTTGATTCAGACTTGTTGCCACGTTGGCTTTGACGATTATGACTCTCAAGCATGACAGTACTTGCATTTTGCCCATGAATATGCGTGTTCGAGCCATTGGCATTTTGAGGGTTTGTACCCTCTTCCAATTCAACAAAGCCACTAGTTCTTGACTGCAGCAATAGTTCAATGTATTATAAAACTACATGATTTAATAAAAGATAACACGTTCCACGTAAACATAGTTAAAGATAAGAACCTTATGCCTTACAAAAGCCTTGTCGGAAGAAATATTATTAGACGCCGATCTACTAGCTCTAGTCCTTGAGGTTTCCTCACAAGAATCAAACATAATTACATCCTCTTTTTGTAACATTTCTCTGTTGGATTTACGAGAAGTTCTCCTGTCTGTACTTTTCATATCTGGTGGACGAACTTGAGAGGTACTAACCGTAGAACAATCCCTATTAACAAATACAACAGTGGTTATTGGACAAAGATTGATATGATCTAAAGGTGCTTGTTCAAAGATAGCCTGCCTATTACCATACCCAAACTGCAAATTCATGTTGTCACCGAGTAGTGCAGATTCTTCAGACGAGGCAACACTGGGAGACGCACTTGAGCTTGCGCTCTCCAACTGCAGGCATTCTTCCTTATGCACTTGCCTCCAATGAATAATCTGGCACCTCTCGGAACTGCATAAAACTCGTCAGTTTAAAAGAGAGAAACATCATGTCGAAAGGGACAAAATGCAAGTCAAGGTAATACATATATGTATGGAAAAGTGAGAACCGAGAGGCCGCCTTGACGAGATCTTGCAGAAAATCCAACAAGTAGAACATATAGTGTGTTCGAAAGTTTCAAAAAACATGAAACAAGAATCCAGGAAACATGGAAGATGAAGGATGCATTATATTTATAAATAATGTTATGGAAGGGCAGAAAACCAAGAAATTCTCGGAAGAGAGCTGGAATAAAATGTTTATGGAAGTTAGAATGAAATGGGGAAGAAATGAAACCATATTTAAAGAACCTAAACCAAGAATGTGGTATAGAAATAAAGGAAGTGCATTGTAGCAGTTAAGGTATAGAATATACCAATATTTGACAGCCTTGCATCTAGAGCAGCGAGTTGTCGCAGGACCGAAGCACCAAGCACACACATGTAATTTGTTCTTTGAAGAAGGAACAAGTGGAATAACACTGGGTGCGACCATTTTTTCAGCTCGCTTCGAAGTAGGAACTAACGGAATAACACTGGAAACAACCATTGTTTCGGCTCTCTTTGAAGAAGGAACAAGCGGAATAGCACTGGCAGCAGCCATTGTTTCAGCTCTCTTTGAAGAAGGAACAAATGTAATAACACTGGCAGCGGCCATTGTTTCGGCTCTAAGAGCTTCTTCAGCTGCAAGCTGAGCAAGTAAACTTACCCGCTCTTGTTTCTTTGAAGCCTCAGTCCATTTCCCGAGTAAGTAGTAAGCAACAACAGGAAGCACCACCAAGACCAGAAACAATGCAGGTATATCAGTTTCCCTTGGCTCAAGCATGTCTCCGCAAGCATTCTCATATCCAATATGGGCCCAAATTCACTATCCAGAAGGTATTCTTAATATACTACATAAGTCAAGCAAAACAAACATTTGTTCCAGCAACTTAAATTACAACATGAAAATCATGCTATGCCACTTAACCCTATCAAGATGAAAAATATGGGTTTGCATTCCAATGTGCATCAAACAACTCCTTTTCACAGTGTGGTCAAATTCAGCTGCACGGTGGGGGGAAACGATTGGTCCGTAGAGGATGATTCAGGTCAGGGAAAACCTTTTCTTCTTATATAAACCTACCAAAGAAAAGTTAAAAAATTGATTTCAAAGTAAAATTAGCAAGAAAATTTCACCAGATTTCCGGTTCGAGTTATCAACAAAGATAGGAAATGCACAACAATGACAAACAGATTTCAGTCCCACACGACACCAAAGGAGAACTTTAATCAAACTCACCACCGCTGCAATATACAGGTTCCAGAATTGCTCCACAACCATCATGTGCTGAACAATAGAATCCAAAGCATGCTTCAGCCGACTTTATTCAATCGGTCATGGGTCTACCATCATATGAAGATAAGTCACACTCATCTCCCTCCTTCATAAATCTTATTTTCTATGGATTTATAAAGTTCCTTCTCAACATAAAACGATTACTTAATATGTTTACAATCGCTATTCGATCCTTTCCAAATCCAGCAATTATTTCAACTATAGTTACCCTACATAAATCTTATTTTCTATGGATTTATAAAGTTCCTTCTCAACATAAAACGATTACTTAATATGTTTACAATCGCTATTCGATCCTTTCCAAATCCAGCAATTATTTCAACTATAGTTACCCTACATAAGCACACCGAGTCATATATATATATACATACACATACACTCCTCCAAAGCAGCAGCATTTTAGCTAGAGCTACTTGAATCAAGCACACAAGTTAAAATGTTATTTTCAAGAACAAAATCCCAAGAGAACAGGACTAAGATCTTTCGCACTTGAATATATCCATTAACAAATCTAAAGTATATACACAAGATGGCCAATAAAACACAAACTAAAAAAAAAACAACTTTTCTTCAACAGAATAGCAGACTCAATGAAACCAAGCATTTCAACAATATCAGATTCAAACCCAGAAAGCTAAATAAACACTGCAAATTAAAATGAAAATGATGGTAAAAATTCGGGATAAAGCTTGAACCTTTCATACCTGTTGGTCTCTCATGCAAGCTGAAGCATAAATCTTCTCAGAAAAATCCCAGAAACAGTGATTTTCTTTCTTGTTCTAAGCTACTTCTTCCTCTTTTTTTAATTTGCTTGAGAAAAAAAATAAAAATTCTTTGAGTCTTCAAATGGTAAGAGGACTAAAGACAACAGCTTTTGTCTCTTTCTCTCTTATCCCTTACCACTTTTGATGATATTTGCAAACTTTTTCAATGTCTGGTCTGCTCACACCCAAATAACTGTACTTTTAACCCCCCATTGGACACGTGGCAAGTGGATTTGGTGATGAAATCACAATGATCTATGTTCGGCCGTTGGATCTGTGTAGTAAAGGGAATTTTCAATCTTGGAAGAACATGAATATGTAAGTTTTCTAATGGTTTTTATTGTTAAATAATGGAATCGAATAATTGGAGTTTTAAAGTAAACATTTTGACTGCAGGTCAAGGTAGATAAATAGGCAACCACGTCGGCAATTTTCCTTTATAAGTAGACGAGTCGTTGGGCTGGGCCACCGTTTTAAAAAAAATAAAATCAGACCGGTTAATTTTTATTATTATCCTCTCGATTTTAGGGTTTTGTCATGATTTTTAATGATTTTTTATATATGTAATGATTCGAACTCGATATTTACTTAAACAATACACAAGGTTAAATTACAATATTTATCATGTTCATTTAAAACTTTTATATATTTTTCACTAAATTCAAAAAAATATAATATTTGGTCACTTTTATTTTTATTTAAGATTGATATTTTTGATTCTAGTAATTAAGACGTGGTTATTGATAGTTAACTGTTGTTAGACATTTAGTGGAGTGATGATATAGTGAATTTATAAAATTAAAAAGGGTAAACTATAGAAATGATCACTGAAATTTAAGCAAACTTTCTTTTTTTTCATTAAAGTTTCAAAAATAACAAATTGATCACTAAAACATCAAATAGGTCCTTAAATAAAGATTTTATATTTAATTTATTCTAAAAGCTTTATTTTTTTTGTTTATCATTTGAAATATTGATTGCTTCATGTCTAAGAAAATTAATTTCTAAATTTTTCTTAATTTAAAAAGTATATATATTGGAAAAAATTTTAAAAAAAACTTGAGATAAAATATATATAAATTCATTGTTCAATGACTTATTTAATGTTTTACTGACCAATTTTTTTACTTTTGAAACTTTAGCGTAGAAAAAGAAAATTGTGTAATTTACTCTTTTTAATTTTATAAATTCATTGTTCCATATCAATAATCTGTTAAAAGTCTAACGATTGTTAACTCTCAGTGATCACATCTTAATTAAATAAAAACAAATATTATAAAATATTATGATTTTTTGAATTCAACGAGAAAAAATATATAAAACGTAGTGTTTATTTGTTTCACGAAAAACAAATCTCAGAAAATGATTTTCGCAAAACAAATTATATTTTTTTAAAAACAAATTCTAGAGATCATTTTACATCATCGCCTCGGATGAAATAACGGGCAAGATAAAAATGATAATGGTGAAATTTTGGGCAAGAATTTGTTTTTTTTTTTTGCTCAATAGGGCAAACTATTTTATTAATTAGTCCAATAGGACATATAAACGTTTATTTCAGGATCTACAACATTTGTTATAATATTCAAAAAACTCGTCATGTCAAAGTGATAAGTTTACTCAAATAATATTTTTTATTCAAACTCGTTATGTTGAGGTGACGAGTTTCAATAAAAATATTTTTTTATTAAATTTTATCACATCGATGGAAAAAAATTTGAATAAAAAATATGTTTAATTGAAACTCGTCACTTGACATGACGAGTTCCAAATTACTGTAGCTAATGTCGTAGATCCTTATATAAATTTCTATATACCCTATTGAGCTAATTAATTAGGCTATTTGAAAAAACACCAAGAATTTTGAACCTGCTTGAAACTATTCTAAAAAGGTAAAAGGAAATATTTACCACTAAGTCATGATGCTTAAAACCACCATTAATAGTAGCAAAGAAACTCAAGTTCATATTGTCAAAACAAAGAGATGGAATAAGGTAAAAAAAAATTCTCAAGGTCAAGTCCGAATCCGAACAACGGTGCCGATATCTTCGAGCAAAGATAAAAGAAGAACAAAACGCGACGGTTGAGACGGAAAAGATGGAAAGAACGAAACAAAGGAAAGTTTCTACCATCCCTTCGACACAACAAAGTCTCTCTCGCCATTGGGAAGCCACCCAATTCCATCCATTGATCCTAAAAGGCTAGGTCGATCAGCTAACGCGATGTTGGTCGGGTGACTCGTGGCCTCACCGGTGTCTTTGAAGGACTTACCCTGAAAGTTAAGGACAAAAACATAATTAGCTTAAGCAACAACAATTTTACAGAACCAGAACTTAGAGCGAAAATTTGGGTCCGCACCTGATCGGTTGAGTTCCTAGCACCATCCCACTACAATTCAGTGCAACAATGGCACTTTCCGCCTGTCCAAAAACAGGAGCCAAGTCAAGGCACGAAGCATCGTGTTGGAAAAACTATGATATCGGAAACTAGTAAAGGTATCATACTATTCGTTTTATCAATTCATCAATGTCGTAAAATCTTTTCTATCGTCGTATAAGTAAAAACACATGCACAAGTAAAACCAAGTCAATGTAAAAGAACACCGTAGTGTCTTTAGCAGATCCTGCATTTAGCTGATCTGGAAAAAATCGAAGAAGTTTAAGAATCACGTTAATTGAACAAACCTATTATCGAGTGTCACACAATTATATACGTAAGAAGTTCGGTGGATATTAGACATGGAAAGCTAAATTACAAAGAATATGACCTTGGTATGAGCCATCTGCCATTATGGCTGCAAACTCGCTTACAAGTATATCGGGATGGCTTTCGCATGCAGGCATACCAATAGAAGAGGAACGGTGAAAATACATTAACTAAAAGTTTTGGAATAAGAAACTTCTGTTAAATTCGTCATTTTGAATCCTCTAGAAAACTTCTTATCCTATCCAACAGATTTCCCAAACTCTAAAATCGAATATTATGTCCTGTAAGCGACGGTTGCATCAAGATTCAAAAAGGATATAAAAATAAGCTAATATTCCCAATGTGTAACCGGTTCCTAAGGTTCCGTTTATGTGATCAAGCACTCTCTAAAGATGCTAAATGCAGATAAAATTTCGCAGGCAAAGCAAATAATCTCACACAAAATACTCGCTAAAATCGAGCCTCTTGAGGTTAGGCAAAGCATACATGGAAAATTTTGAGGGGCTAGATTTGCAGTAATAGTTTGCAAAGAGACATGGATGACATATTGCAAATAATGTTCAATAACATGAAAAGAAATGTACTAATTAGAACCCGGGCCAGAAACATAGTTTTCAAAGAATCATAAATAAAATCTGAAACTATATATTATGAACCGAATATTTTTCAACATCAATCCCGAAAACCTGAACTTACCATGACAAATTCGACAAAAGCAATACGAGTTGAATGCACATTGTCCCCTAAAAGCCTCAAGCGAGTGACCTGAGAATTAAAAGCAAATCGTGTCGACCTTCTTTCTGAAAACAGTTGGGAAAAAAAGTACATGTCAATCGTGATATTGATGTTGTACTAACCTCACCGCATGCGGATTCAAAGAAATTCTTCACTTCAGCTTGAGAAACCTTCCATCAAAGAGAATGATTGCGAGTATTAGATCAGCTAAGTTACATCAATTTCTGCAATGATAAAGCTAAAAACTTGGACCCGAGAGTGATTTTGAGACACGGGTATGTTCATATTTTCTAATTTCTTTTACCATATATTTGAGGGAACTTCGAGGGTCATATACCCGGACCCATGTTTGGATATCGGCCAGACACCGGTGCCTCAAGAAAAATGAAGAGTTGGAGTAACTTGGGATAAAAGACAAGAATATCCGTGATAGCAATAAAGGGGTTACCTTCTTGTCAATATTTGTACAATAAACTGTTCTGGTACACATTTCCCTTTCATCTTCGGACTGCAATTGTAGTGAACATGATTACCACGAGTGAGGCTCGAAAGTAAAATATAAAGAGAAACTA